GTCTGTCTGGGCTGTGGGTGGAAGCTCTTGGGTGCTGGTTTCCACTGGCAGTGCTGAGGTCAGGTCAGGGCTTCCCTCTTGCTGAATCTCTTGCAGAGGAAGTGACTGGCTGGTCATGGGAACACCTAAAATCCCAACATCTGGACACAGCTGCAGGGCTGCTGCCCCATGACCTCAGGGGAGAGAATCAGGCAGAAAGAGAGAGGAATAGGAAACAGCATTAAAAAGTCTGAATTTCAGGTAAACTCCAAACACTTTCTTATCTCCTCATTGCCTACTTCAGACTTTGTCAGTGTTCTGGAAGTTTGCCTGAAAATCCTCTGTTTAGGTTTCTCTGTGAGCCATCCTTAACCATTTTTATCCTGAAGTCAAGTCTAGGATAATGGGGAGATGTTATCAGAGAAAATTGGAGAGAAAAAAAAAATCCTCATCCAAATGGCACAGACTCCAAGGGGATTTTCTGCATTTTTCACAGGGGATCAGGATATTGCTCACCTCATGGCAAAACTAACCACCTTACTAAACTCTCTTATCCATGACTGAAACTGTATCTAGGACCTCAAGTGATAAGACATCTGTGCATGTGCTCTGCCATCCTCTGACTGTTCCACACCCAGTTTTATTGGTTGCAATTTTGGTAGGGAAAAGGATATTAAAATAGAAGTGGGAGAAAAAGGTAAAGAAACAGGAAAGTGGAAGTAAAGAAAGAATGTATTTTAATAACTGAAATATTAACAACAATTACTATTTTTAGCAATGTGTGAACAGAAATAGAAAATGTCAGAGCTTGCATCTACAGAGATCACAGAATCACAGAATGGTTTGGGTTGGAAGGGACCTTCAAAGTTCATCTAGTCCAACCCCCCCTGCCATGGGCAGGGACATCTTTCACTAGACCAGGTTGCTCAAAGCCCCGTCCAACCTGACCTTGAACGCTTGCAGGGATGGGGCAGATGTCAGAGTAATTCCAAGACAGTTTCTGGTTTTGCTGCCAGGCTGTCAGGAGACTTGCACAACCTTGTGGCTAGGCTCAAGTCCTTGTTGTGGGTGCAACATCCACGGGAGAGAATCAGAGCTCCCTGGGGCTGCATTCCTCCCCCCTGCCCGCTCCTCCAGGATTTCCTGCAATCTGTAACCACACCAGAAGGGCAGTGCTGACGCTCCTCCAAAATGACTGCAAGTTCCTCCAGCTTTTGGAAATGATGATGCCCTTTGGATTTGGCAAGAAAAAATATTTTTTTTTCTGCAGATGGTGAACAGAACTGGCTGACAGCAGTCCAGGTGTTTAACTGAATTATAATCCATTTTAACTGCCCTAAGGATTAACCCTTTGCAGCATATGTGCTTCCTCTCTGCTGGCCAGGCAAAGTTCAGCTGACATTTTTGTAGCTTCTGTATACACAAAGACCTGTGCTGCTTATAAGCGTGGATGCTGATAACTGTGCTTTGTACGAGCAGAGTGTACGTTGGCATGTAAATGGGATTAGCTTGTGTCACTCATTGCTAGCTCTTGACCAAGACTACATGTGACCACAGTCCCCTGTTCTGGACTGACTGGTGTCTAGTCAGAGCTGAGGGATGCACTCCCATCTTGTTGTTCCTAAACATTGTCTGCAAGTGATCATTTCATCGTTAATTTGAAAAAACTTCTCCCTTGTTCCTGAATCTGCTGCTTCCACTTCCATATTCTCTATGCAAAGTATAACTTAAAGACCCACAACATGTCTGACCCAAAAATCAGCCCTCTGACAGAAGAATTACTGAGTTACACCACGGCAAAACCTGGCCTCTGCCCTCTCCATCTCTTTGGAGCTGACAGCGATTGCTGTGATTTGCCTGCAGCTTCTCCAGGGCTCTTCCCTATGGGGAGGGAGAGACCAGCCAGGCAGGGGGTGGCCGGTCCTGGTTCCCTCCTCTGCCTCAGGCAAAGGGATGGTGCCTTGGGGACCCATCGGTACTCAGGGCACGGGGCAGTTTTTGTCTTCAGTTTGTTGGGCAGGAGGCAGGAGATGAGTGACCTGCGTGGAAAATGATGATGTGGAGGACAAGGAGGTGGCTTGCTGTAGCCGTGGGGGGGTTTAGCAAAAGGGGTGCCTGCTCCTACCTCCTCGCCCTGCCAGCCGGGGCTCTGGGTAACCTGGAGCAAGGAGAGAGCACAGAGGACGTCAGCAGAGTTTTGAGGACCGTGCCAGAGGCAAAATGGGGCAGGAGAGGAGGCAGAGGCAAGAAATTCGCCAGGTCCATCTGCAGCACAGATGGCTCAGAGCAAGAGGGGCCCCTGCTATCACCTCACTTCCAGTGAGTTGAGCATTGCCGGTTCACTAACCACCAACTTACACATCTCTAAGCACATCAGAGAAAACACTTCCTTCCGTTTTCTTCTGCCCCTGCGCTTCCCAGAGCTGTGCTCTGGCAACAGGCAGACAGGACCAGGGGTGGGGCACGGTACAAGGTGACACCGGAGGGGTCTGCTCCTCGTGGGCCCAGTCCCCGTCCCTCCTCCTTCTCCCAGCCCTGTGGCAGCAAGCAGCTGTGGGCTTTCCCTCACCCCAGGGCCTCCAGCTCCCTGCCGAGGGCTGATGCAAAGAGAAGAGGAGGAGAGGGGAGGCTGGAGCTGCTCCTGTGAGCCTGCACCTCCTGCCACAGGGCAGGTGCACCACGGTCCACTTCAACTTGAACCATCTTCAGCATCCACAACCTGAAACTAAACACAGTGCCCGCATGCCGCTTGGCGGGAGGACACCCCCAAGGAGAAACGTGGCTGCAAGCCCAGCCATCAGCTTTCATTATTTGCTTAGTGCAGGGGCGACATTTTCTGGAAAATAATTGCTGCCCCCTTTCGCTAGCTGAGGTGTGCGTTTCCCAAAAGCATATGACAGTGACAGAGTTACTCAGGACAGCTGCCCCTGCCGCAGCAGGGCTGATGGCCAGCCAGGGGCACGAGGTGGGTGGCATTGGCATGTCCCCATCACCGCCCCATCACTGCCCGGGCAGCTGGTCTGCAAACCCCCTTTCCTTGGCTCCCTGCACTGCTGGGGGGAGGACTGCCACGGGAACCAGTTGCTAGAGCAGGACCAACTCACCCGGCTACCCCACCCTGAGGAACTGCAGATTTTATATCTCACACCGCGTGCAGGCTCCACGCTGGATAGGGTAACGCTTCAGGCAGGAGGCAATCCTTAAGCAGGGCTGCAGGAAATAGGGGTGTGGGGCTCCTTAATGAAACACGTCTCCATGTGCTCACTGCGGTAATTAAAGGAATGGAAAAAGAAATCCCAGTAACTCTTTATAAAAAAAACATGTGAGGAAAGGACAGCCCTTTCAAAACACTCTATGCAATTTTCCATAATATTAGGAAAATTTAAAAGTAAGACCTGTTGCAATAATATCAACACAGAAAAAGCCAAGTCAGTGCCATAACGCACTGAGTACACTGTGGCCTGTCCCCAAGGACACAGCTGCCCAGTCATGGAACACTGTTTAAAACAACCACAGTAGGAAAAAATGACTGTGTAAACTAAGGTCCGGTGAGAATACAGTTTCCGAAGCTCTGTGTTGTTATAAATAACCTAATTTGAATAATTACCTTATACCTACAAGAGTTCTTTAATTGACATAGGTTTGCAAAATGTAAACAGCTTGTTTTTAAAAAAAAAAAATCTGCAGATCCGCATTTTTGTGCTGGGTTCTGCAAAGTCCTGTGCTGACATCAAGTGGTGACATATGTTTCATCCCGAAGGGAGCCAGACTTGCCGTACTGCATATGCACAGGATGATATTCCTTGGCACGGGAAGGTAAAGGCAAATAGACAGGAGCTGCAGAGGGGCTACAGCAGCAGCCTCGCTGGCAGGCGCTCCCGTGGGAATGGTCAGCCAGAGGAGTATGGAAAAGCAATGCAGCCACCACCGTGCAAGGCAGGAGGGTGAGGTGAGCCTCTGCAGCGGCTTCTGGGCACACGAGGTGCTGGCTGAGCCCCCCAGCACCCACCAGATGTGACCACTGGCAACAGCCCCCTCTCTCCCCAGCCAAGAAACCCCCGGCTGGGACAGCTACAATGGGGCTTGGTGGCCTCAGGGGACTGAGGAGAGCACGGAGAGCTCATTTACTAAAGCAAGCTCGACACAGTTAACCAAAGAGGATGGGAGGCTATATTAATTAGTTCTGCAGAAATGTCAAGGAGGGAAAAATAAATATCTGAGGTTATGAACTGGCTGTGAATAAAATCAAGCTTGAATATTAGAAGGGTTTTAAACGCCGACTGAACTTCTGGAACACCATTCCGTCAGAGATTGTGCAGGAAAAACCTCCCACAATGCAGTTTTAATGTGGAGGTTAATTATTTGCTGAAGGCATTAGCA